CTATTAAATAGAAACTAGAAAAGAATAGTCTTGCCTAGCAGCAAAATGGATTGTCTGTTTTCTTTGTAGATATAGTTTTGTAAATTAAAGCTATCTAAATGCTTCCTGGAGAAACTCTTCTTGAAATTAAATGTTAAAATGGTTTCTCTCTGTAATGCAGACTTTCTTTTCCCCAAGAAGAAGGGCGGGGGGGAAATCCTTGTTCCACATCTAATACAGCTTTAAAGTTGGCAAAATTGTCAGTTGCTCTTTGGATAACTTGTTCCTTCCCAGTGCTAGCAATATTGCATAGTTTCTTATGTGAGGCCTTATGTGCAGTATTGTAACTTATTGATGGACAGACTTGTTAATTTTGTGCAATGTTTGTTCACAGCACCACCCCTGCCTTCTTCCTGCATGACTAGTAAGAGGAAGCAATGTGTCATTGTATTCTAATGACTTCCAAAATTTCTGGTATACTCCTTTGAAAAAAAGAAGAAAAAAGTCTATGGAAGTGTTTGATATCAGGAGGAAAATAGGTGACAGGCAGTTTGGTTCTAGAGGCACTGGTGGCTGCTGTTTTGTTTTGTTTTTTTTTTTTCTTGAATGATAAAATATTGTATAGAAGAAAATTCCCATTACTTTGCTCCATAAAGGAATCCCACTGAAGTCAAGAAAACTTCACAAGAAGAGATCAAGAAGGTTTCGGTGTTCTTTTTTACTCTTAGATTAAACTTGTGATGACAAATCATCATTAGCATATTTCTTTTTGGGTTCTTCTAGACAGTACTCTACTCCCAGTCAAGTAGAAACTTGTAATCAGTCTCACAACAAGTAGTTTACTGTTTTGATTGAGTTTTTAGGTGCAGCCTCCCAATACTGGTCATCTGCTCTTGACTTAACTACAAATCATGTTTCTTGCATGTGTTTTGAACAAAAACTAACTGATGCAGATAGCTCAAATGCAATGGAATTCACTGCTACTTTGCTTCACTTGAAATAATTTTTTTGCTAGCTGACATGCAGGCTGCAGAATGAACTAAGAAAAGGTGTGCTTTGTTTCTCTTCCTTACACTGAATGCTACACTGTTTTCTGTTTTGTTGAAAAAGATGGGGAAACTTCATATTCAGTGTAATAATGCCCATCTTTTTCCTTTACCCAGGTTTGGGAAGGCTAGAGAGAGATTGCCTGCCTTTTGTTTTCAATCACGGTTTGTAACGCTACGTGGCGCTCTTGTTCAAATAACAGCATTTTTATTTTGCTTGCTTTCTTTAATTTGTCAGTAAAAGGTTGAGACTTCTAAAGGATGTCCAAACCAGGAAGTGTTCCTAGATGAACTAATCAAAAAAAATCTCAAGCTTTATTAAGAAACTCCATCTTTCAATTCAAGCCAGTTCATACAGATAGACATTATGAAATGGGTGTTTACTTGATGTCTATGCTTAAGCTTTTGCTTGAACAGTTACAGCCTGTTTTCTTTTGTCATGTGTGTAAACTGTGTTCTATGTGGGTACATCCCTTTCCAAACAACTTAAGATGAATGGCAATCATCGAAGTAAAAACTGCAATCTTCTGCATTTCAATGCAGAAATTAATGTCTCGGTGATTTTAGACCTTCAGTGCAAGCTGAAGTAAGAAAGACTCCAAGTGAACAGAAGGATGGTTAAGAGGGATGATCTGCTAGTAATTCTGAGAAATTCTTTGCTCACATCAGTCTGATCCCAACTTCTCTAAGGGGTATGTGTGAAGGGGGGAGCTCTTGCATTCACTTACCTGAGGGAGTGGCGTAGCAGAATCGGCACAGGACAAGTGCTTCAGAACACGCTTGGTACCATCTGTTTTGGCTCATACATGAGTTAATTCAACCACTGTATAGCTTCTAGTGGTCTTCCTTGTGCTGTGCAAAAGTGACTTTACATATTGCAAACCTCAAAAGCTGAACATCTGTGTCGCACTGAACCAGGTATCTATGATAGTCATCCTGGAGAAATGATACTGCACTAAGAGGGACTCTGGCTTTGGCTTTGTTTCAGAGAGACTTTCGTGTTGCTGGACCTTAGAAATCATTTGGCTTTAATGATGAATTGGAATTTTGCATGGCATCTGTACTGACGTGTGAAAAAGGTGATTTACCTTCTTGTAATTCTGTTCTTGTTGATATGGGATGTGGGAAAGCTCTGGGCTGCAGCATTCAGATGATGAACATCCCTGCTTCCCAGAAGCACACAGCTCTTGAATGCTCCATCTTGTGTCTCTGTTCCTCCAAATTTATGATCTGATACTCGTGTTGCTACATAGCTAGTGTATTACTGTGGGGACAGATCAGATTCATCTGGCACAAGCCGAATAGTTTTAATATGCGACATCAGAATTGTCACGTGTCAAAGCAGAGATCTACTGAGCCTAGTATTACCTCTAGAAGTGGTAGTAATGAGTGCTTAGGGCAAGAGACATAACAAGACTGCAGTGATATTTTCTCTTCCCAGCAAGATTTCCTTGCTACTTGCCAGAATCTGTGCAAGGATTTCCTGAGCTAGAAACTGCAGCTGGACTGTGGACTTTTGTAGTGATTGAATTTTATTTATGACATGTACAATGAATTATTAAAAAAAAAAATCTGTTAATGCTTTTGCCCTCCCATTTAATTAGTCACTGGGAGAAAGCGCTTCTTGTTTTTGTTTTAAGCCTGCTTCTTGATGCCATTGTTTAATGACCTGTATTTTGTTTTTACCTTCCTGCCTTTATCATAGTTCTCTAAGCCTCTCATGTCTGTGCCTTACTGTCTTTCTCCCTGTATGACTGCGGCTGTATTTAGCCATTTCGCACTTCTGATAATCTTCATTACCCTTCTCTATTTGTGTCTTCAGAGATGGGGTGACCAAACTCTACTCAAGTTGTAAATATGAAGTGCTATGCCATAGTTGTGTTTTGATTTGTTTTCCATGCCTTCCCTAATGAGTCCTAAAGCTCTCATTTTCATGGCTTCTGAGCATGGAGTTGATATTTTCAGAGGACTATCTAAAATAATGCCAAGGTGTTTTGCTTCCTAGCCAAGAGGTTCATAACACCAATTTAACAGCTACTTCTTGTGCTCTGTGTGGTTAGTGTTATTTCTATTTTTTTAAATTACTTTTCATGTATTGGTAGTGAATTTCACTATGCATTCACTATTGTGAAGTCTGTCTTCAGTCGCCTTTCTTCTAATCTACTTTGAATAAGACTATGTTGGCAGCAGCATTTTTGCCCCCTTTTTCAGATCATTTAAGTTTGATAGCACAGGTTACTGGGGAAGGCAGGGGATGAGTGTCCATAGCAATCTGCCGCTGTTACAAAAACTGCTCATGACTACTTCATATCACTCTCCTACTCTCTCACTTTTTGGTGTATCCTGTTAAGACCCTTTAAGAAGATGTAAAAATGAAAGAAGAAAAAAAAAAGGAGTTGAAGGTAACTCCCTCTGCTCTCGGAACCAACAAATAACAGAAGAAACATAAGGAAAAAAAACCACTATAAAAACCAAACAAAAACCCCAGGATAGAAAAAAACACTATAAAACCCAATAAAAAATCCCAGGATAGACATAAAGTTTAATATAGTTAAATTTATTTGTTCTTATCTACTATTCCACTCTCCAGGTAACCATCTCTGACAAGTCCTAAAACTTGAGATTATTACCCACTTCAGACTGGGAGCCACCAAATGTTTAGAGGCTACAATTCAGCTGATTACTACCATTGTGCCTCAATATGAGGTAGTAGCTTCAGTTTCTTGCTTTGAAAGGAGGAATGCCAGCAAAAAAGTTACGTTTTGGTTTTTTTGCTGGTGCATAATTTGAGTCAGCTGTATTAGAATAACACAACCTGAACTTTCTGTTTAGTGATTCAAACCAGGCTAAGACCTGGCAAAATAAGCTATTATACTGATTTGAATATAAGGATGTAGTGCTATGAGGCACTTTTTTCCCCCCAGGAGCTATGTACTGGAAAAATCTGTCTTGCATGGGACTTTTCTAGGTGTAATTGTATGTTATGGCTGCTTTAAGGGCCCTTAACTCTTCTCTCATGTGGAAAGAACCTGTTCCTTGGTGAGAGCCTTGGACCTTGCTGGAGAGCTGTGCCCAGCAATGGCTGCAACTGTAACAGACCTTCTTTTGCAGCTGCAGGACAAGCCATTGGCAACTCGATATTTCTGATGAGAGGCTTGCACTAATTTTAGCCCCCTGGCCAATTGAAACCTCTATACTAAGGAGTAGTTTGTTTGTTTTGTTTTTTTTTTTTTTTTTGATGGACAGGCACTGCCTGCCTGGCAACCAGTTTCCTGGAAAAGCAGGGCTTTCTGAGCAAGCCAGGAAGTGAAACCTTGCTTGGGAGGTCAGGTGGTTCATAGTGTTATGCACAGGATTGATCTGTGAGGTTATGGGTGGGCAGCATGTAAGTGGCATGGGGAAGGGAGCAGGCCTAAGGATGGCTATACTGTCATATGTAAAATAGAAGGGTGGGTGGACTGTGGAGTTCTAGAAGGTGGCTAAATATTTAAATGCTGAATTTACTATTTTTGATTTGTTTTGCTGTCACTTAAAAAGGAATGCTTTAAATTTTGGCCAAGGTGGCATGCTTGGAAACCAGCTTTTATATTTACATTTCTTCCTGCTCTTATCTCTCATGTTTAGTTTTTTATTAACCAATGCTTTTACCAGAAAAATGCTGGGACAGCATCTTCAGTCAAAATCAGGTAGATTGGCACACTTTGAAGTGAAACAATGTCCTGTGGAGATGGGTGTTTATCTGCTCTGTGTATATAGCAACAATATATTCCTGATTGTGGGAAAAGGTACGCATGTGTCTTGATACTTGGATATATGCTGCATTTATGGTCTTGGGTAACTTTCCACTACTTTCAGCAAAATCCAGGATGTAATTTGTGTGTATGTGGCAGTTGGTCAGATCTAAAAGTCTGTTAAAGTCCATTGGATTATGCAGAGGGCAAAATAACCCAGATGCATAAAACAGAGGAACAAAACAAGCATTATGATCCAGAAAAGGTGTGTTGAAGAAACTCTTCTTAGCTTTATTCTGCTTTGAGTAGCAAATTTTACTTCCGTGTCATTACAGCTGTTAAATCACCTTTTTCCCCAGCTTTGCCATTCTCATCCTCAGAGCTGAAAAAAAGAAAACAAACAAAGCCATTGTATTTCAAGACTAACTTTCCATTTCTGATGCTAAATCTCCTTATTTAGAGAAATGAAGAATACACGTACCTCCGGTGGTTAATCCAGCAGAATAGGCATTGTTTTAATATTATAAAAAGAAATCAGTAGAAGGCATTAGTTCTGGTAATTTTGCAATAAAGCGAATATATTAAGAAATTATTTCATTATCACTATTTGAAAATTGGCACAGCTCTTCTCCTGTTTTGTTTCTGTTACCTTCACTAAGGCATGGCAGACAGATGGTATTGTCCTTGACTAGATGCTGACAGATTAAAAGCATGCATGAACAGTTAAATGAACTCTTTGTTTAAACTGAATTCCTCAGTGGGAGCTGTAACTGTTTGGAAGCCTTTTTCTTTTTTTTTGGTGTTCACAGAAAACTTTCCTCTCTTCCTGGTGTAGTGAGTCAGAGCAGGAGTTAGTCATATTCCTGATTTGAGTCTGACGGAGTAACTTAGTATCTGTATAAACATCAGTATGGCTATTGTCTGTAACTGGGTGTAATGTGGGTTAGTTTGAAGGTGACAGTGTAGGGCAGATGATTAAATGTTAAGGTTGTTTTTAGAATAGCAATATAATATTGTTGTTTGATATGTAAGAGCCTCCCTGCACCATGTAGTTGATCTGAGAATGCAGTGGGAGTAATCTCACCACACCAGCCCTCTGACCTGTTAGTTTGAACAGTCACCCAAAATAGCATGTCTCATTCCTTCATCCTGCATATATCTCTGTACTGAGAGACAGGGGGTCAAAGCAGCTGTTTACTTGATTTACATTTGCATGTCAGCAAATGGCCAACTTGAGTTATGTTTTGAATGCTGAAGTTGTTGCAAATCATAGAAGCATCTGAGTGTAACTTTATATCATAGGGCCACTGATGTTAACCTTGGCTCTTTCAAAGACCCTGTGTACTGTTTGCAGACCAAGGAATTCTGAAGGATTCGAGTCCTGTTTGTGGTTTGACAGCACAATCAGTCTGATGCTTCATTTACAGCCAACAGTCTGTTTTTGTCTTGCTCTATGCGTTACAGAAACCAGATGGCTTGCATGAATCTTTCTCTATTAAAAGACTTTTTTGTACGTTACTTTCTTCAACGCAAATGGAGCTAAGTCTCCATTGTGTTTTTTGAAGGCTGCACAGCTTCCAGTGGTAAGGAAAAAAATTAGCTCATCTCGACTAGCTATCTGCCAAAAGCCTTGGACCTCCATGACCCATGAGAGCCTGTTCCACAGTCAGTAGGTTTTACTGCCTATTCAGCTTCAGTTTTTCCTTTCCTTAATTGTTCCACTATTCTCCATTCCATTCATTCTCCAGGCTAAACAACCCCAGTTCCCTCAGCTTCCCCTCATAAGACTTGTGCTCTAGACCCTTCACCAGCTTCGTTGCCCTTCTCTGGACACGCTCCAGCACCTCAATGTCTTTCTTGTAGTGAGGGGCCCAAAACTGAACACAGTATTCGAGGTGCGGCCTCACCAGGGCCGAGTACAGGGGCACGATCACCTCCCTACTCCTGCTGGCCACACTGTTTCTGATACAGGCCAGGATGCCGTTGGCCTTCTTGGCCACCTGGGCACACTGCCGGCTCATGTTCAGCCGGCTGTCCACCAGCACCCCCAGGTCCTTTTCCTCTGGGCAGCTTTCCAGCCACTCTTCCCCAAGCCTGTAGTAGTTTATTGGGGTTGTTGTGAGCCAAACCTTGTTGAACCTCATACAATTGGCCTTGGCCCATCCATCCAGCCTGTCCAGATCCCTCCGTAGAGCCTTCCTACCCTCAAGCAGATCAACACTGCCGCCCAACCTGTCCTTAGTGCTTGTTTAATGTTCAAATGCTGCAATTGCCTTACCAAAGCTTTCATTTCAGAAAGGGTTATTTTTTTCTGTTGTATGGTTGGTTGTTTTAGTAATGAATGATGAGGTACCAAAAATAATTTTGACTCCCCTCTTTTCTCTGGTGGTGTTTAGGGTGAATCTGCTAGGCTGGGCATCAGATCTTTGAAAACAATTTATTTCCCTAAGAAACAGCTCTGTGTAATACATTGTTCTAGATTTAAGAGTCTTTCCTGGTTTTGTTTCCTTTTTGGAAGTCACAGTAGGATTACAGGACTGCTTGGGAAAAATTGAGTCACTTCCTGGCTTTTTCCACTGATCAAAATGTCCCAGGGAGTGGCAATAAATAGGTGGAGGGATAAAGAGGAATATGGCTTAGTTCCAAATTCTACTGGGCACTTAAGACACTCACTTGGAGGCAGTGCTGACTGTTGGGGTGTATTTTTGAGGCAGTTGCCAAACTGCTTTTAATTTAATTGGGGCCATTTTTTTCCTAATTGGCTATTTTCTCCTTGGTAGAATATTTGTAAGTAAATGGGTAAGACCAAATACAGATTAACAGAACAGATTCTCAAATGTCTTTGCTAGATTTACTTACCCCCTTCCCTGAAATTCAGTGTTTGTTTTCTACTAATCTCAAAAGAGAGAGAACCTAGATTGTTTGGAGAATGTCTATGAGTGGCAGGGAAAAATGAAGACGTTTCAGACGCTTCTTTCAGGAGACAAAAATAAGCAAAGATTGTTACAGATAGAGGTGCTCAGCTAACATCTCATGGCCCGTGTATGGCCCACCTGAATGGTACTGCCAGCTCATAGTTAGTTCTTGGAAGCCTCTTTCCCAGGATCTGTTCAGGAGCACTCACGCAGCAGGCTGTAGAATGAATGAATTGTTTCAGTAGCAACCAGCTGGTGGGTGGGCGGGTGAGTGTTTCTTCTCCATTATATGCCTATACATATGTGATAGGGGAATTAAGGGACTACCCCCAAAATATAATGGGCTGGAGCAGTTGCTGGAGTGGTTTATCTTGCCTGTACCAGCTACTTCTGCTTTTCATTGCTGGCATAAGAGTTGCTGGCAGCAGCCTTTGGTCCCGGAGGACACAGGGAAGTGCACAGATGGCAGGATGGGTGCTTGAGAGAAGCAAAGGTCGTCTCAAGTGATAGAAAAGTGCAGTGGCCTCATTGATCAGAAAGGCTGGGCACCACTGCTGGAATATTTCAGGCTGTTTTGTGCATGACTGCACAAGGTTGATACTTCTATAAACTGAGAGGATTATTTACCGAACAGCTCTTCCCAATCAGTGCATACTGATACAAAAATACCTGAAACTCCTCATGTGATCCAATGACCACCCTCTCTCCTGGCTTTACCTGTGTTGTAAAGAAATGCTGGGCTGCTAATGCAGCTTTATGCTTATGCTTTTGCTGCTAAATTCCAAAATTATTTAGAATATAGTCTGGAAGAGGAGCAGGGAGAGACTGTGGGATCAGGACCCCTGATCTTCCTGTAATTCAAGCACAGTATTCTTTCCTTGAAGTGGAAAGTGGCTACTGTCTGAAATCTGCTGCTCGGTAAATATACTTAAATGCAGTTTAATTGTGTGCGTTAAAGTTCAACAAAATCAGAAAGAAGAGCTTTCTGTGTTTCTGGGAGATCTTGCTATTGTTCTTTCAACCTTTTATTATAAAACTTTATAGTAAGAAATAGACACCTTGAGTATTAATAGAATATAAAAGTGTTTAAAAAGATAACACTACGGACTATATGGACTAACCACATGTAGTGATGAAAACTGTTTCATTGTCTTTTAGAGGCTATAAAAATATCTAACTCAGGTTAACAAAAAATGTTAAAACTTGCATAAACACTGTCAAGGCAAGGTTGGCAATGGTGATTCCAGAAAAATGAAATGCAAAGTAAAGCTGGTTATTAAACAGCCTTTCTGATTTAAGGAGCAATTTGGATTATCTAGGAAGTAGTTAGAATGCAGATGAGCACAAAAACATTCCAGCGAGGAGACAGTGTTAAGAAGCAATGCTGTTAGTTACCTGGTAGAAATGAGAACTAATTCTGCTAATTTTGAGGTAGCATTAATGGAACTTTTAATTGTCACTTGAAAGAGAACCACTTTTAATCTTTGAAGGTAACAGAAATGGCTGTTCTGAGATAGCTTATTTTCCAAATTTTGATATGGTAACTAGTGCATTGCTAAAGATTAAATAATTCAACAGTACCAAAATGCAGATTGGTGTTTGCTAACAAACAAGGAAAGAAATGATTAGTAATTGTGTATTAGTCCATGAAACAATCCAAATAGTAAAGTGGAACAGTTGCTAGCATTTAAGAGTAGTATCAGTTTGCTACATGAGCGAACAGCATTGACATGATTTTCCTTTTCTGTTACCTGTTAGTGAGGGATCTTCAGTACCGTCTCCAGATACCTGGTCATGAAGGTAAGCACGGTGTGTCGGTGAGCTTAAGCGTTCCTCTTGTTCTCGCAGGGAGATGGAATTTTTGTGGGGTACCTTGTTCAGGCTTGCACCCAGACTGCTCACAGGGTTCATCTGTGGGACTTCTGTGATTTTCCTGTTTGGTGGCTGATAAACCTGACTGTAGTGGCCTATGGGATGATATGCTGTTTTCTCAGATTTGCTGTCATCTTCATCATCGTCATCAATGATAACTAATTCTGCGTGGATAACCCCATCGTATCGTGACAACTTCTGGTCTGCTTCTGCATAGTCATCATCAATGCGCTGATAACCCATGAAAATCATTGTTACTGGTTCCGAATCATCCACGTAACATGGTACAGCTTGGACAATGCTGTATTGAACATCTTCCTCATCTTGAGGTGCAGGGGATGTTTCATTAAGATGGCAGGCACTTAAAAACCTTGTCTCGTTATGTCTTTCTCTTGTATTCTGGTAAGGTTTTAATTCCTCATGTGCAGCTTTTCTTTCTTCATTATGTATCACTCTGTTCTCAGGATTAGTATGCACTTTCTTCTCTGAATGGGAAAGTACTGGAGAGGGAGACTTTGGCTGTATTGCCTTTGGAAGATCAAGCCCATTCTCTTTACGTTGCTGCGTAAAGGGCTCTGTTTTGGAGGAGAATTCTGTGTGATGATTGCTAAGTCCATTCATCTCTCTTCTGTGAGTGTCTTCTGGTTTTGGTCCAGGGACTAATTTATCTTTCTGAGGAGTAACGGGCCTGCAAAATTTGTTTGCAAACACAGGCTCATGATACTCTGTGGGAGACTGGGAATTTTTTTCAGTTGCTTGCCGTAGCAGGTCCTCCACCTCAATAGGAGCAAGTTCACCCATCCCATTTTGTGTTGTGCTGCCATTTGAGGATACTGCATAGACTGACTTCCTGCCATCATCATAGACTTTAATTCCTGTCTCCTTAAACTCCTTTGAGGGAAGAGGTATTGTTGATAACACTGTGTTTTCTCCTGTCTTCATGTCTTTTTCAACTTTAATTTCCATGGCAAACAATGCTGTTGAAAGAAACAAGTGCTTAAACTGATAATCCAGCAGCTGCAAGAAACATTATAGAAGAGTTCTGACAGTGATAGAGATGACTGTCAGAATGAATTATCAAATATGCAAAATTATCACATACATAACCAATATATTGGATTCTCATTTTGAATGCCCCCTTCCATGCTGTCAAAACTTGAAGTGGAAAAAAATATTTTTGTTTGGATCTAATTCTGTGAGGAAGAATAAGCTGTTGAGGAGCCAGTTTTCGTTACGTGATTGACTGAGACAGCCAGATTTAACCTTGGCCCCTCATGTTGTGCTGGACAATAGCAGTTGAAAGAGCTCAACGTGCTATAAGACTAAAGAGTCTTGGGCACTCAGAAGGGTTAGGAGGCTTTGTAGTAGTTGGGAAATAACCAGACTACTGCTGGCTACCTAGTAGGTGTAAGTGCGGATAGAAAATGTGAAATGTATGATACAAAGGGAGGAACTACTTAAAGTTATGCCAGGTAGAGGAACGAAGTGTTGGAAAGAAGTGTCAATGTTGAAAACATTGAGGTCCTTATTCTCAATGGCACATACCTTACACCAGTGTCCCACCTCTCAGTTTTGATGACCTCACTAATAACATAATGCAGCTTAAATGAGAACAACATTGTCCCATGTCCGTAATGTTTATCCTTCCCTTAAAGTGTATTAGATTCAATTTATAGGAAGTCTTTGCACATGTGGACACCCTTTGGAGTTACTAATAAGCAGTACCTTTTCTCTTTTCTTCATCATCGGTGGCAGCATGTGCTGTACTTTTCAGTGCTGAAGGCCTGAAATACTTGGGAAGGTCAGGTATGCTGGCATATATGTAGTCTGCTGCCTCTGAGTAAAGAAAATCCACAAAGCATTGAGTATGTTTTCACTGACTTCTACGAGAACCTTTTTAAAAATATTTTTTTTGACTAAACATACCTCTTTCAACTCCTGCTTTTTCAGTCTTCACAGACTAGGAAAGAGAACCATTAACAATAAATGTGATTAGTCAGTTTTAAGATGTTAACTAGACAGTGCTTTGCTTTATCTGACAGTTTAAACTTTTTGTCTGCATGGCTTCATACTTTGAAGGGGCTATAAAAGTGGAACCTGCTCAGTTGGAGCATGACAAGGGAGAAACTGAAATTTTTCTGGTTTTTTTTGCCAACATGATTCCAAGTCACACAGGGAAGGACAGGACATTACAAAGTGTTAATCAGTGACACAACCTCACACTCTGGCCCAAGCTGGTTGGCTTCAAAGATTTTCAAAGGCTCCACTTTGACTTTCCAGTTGTGCTTATCTCTCTGCGTATCTTTAGAGAGAATGTGTGTGTATGTGTAAGAACAACTGGAGAACTGACGTTTAGTTTCATCACTATATTTCTGAGACGGTTTAAGATGATTTTCAAATATCAAAATGACCTTTTGACAAAGACTAATGACTGATAATATTGTCATGTTTCACTGTAACCTCTCTCAAGGACTTGGGGGAAAGCATGATGCTGGACACATCACCTGAAGGAGTATGAATACGTCAGCCTCTGTACCTGTTGCGTCTGTCTCTGGCTGAGATGCAAAGTTGCTGGCTGGTGTCAGTGGCAGTGCTATCTTTTTGAGATGTGCTGTAGATGAGTAATGATAGGAATTGCTCCCCCACCCCCACAAACAAGCAAATGGAGACATTTGGGCACTGGAACGGTATAACATCTTGAATCCTCTTGTATTTGAACTACTGCCACTTTAGACAAAAGCTCACGACCACTCACAGGATCCAGCTAGTTCCTTTTTCCCTTGTTATTATGATGAATGAGTAATGAATTCTACCTCTGGAGTAATTTGGTACTAACCTTTATTATGTCTTCTGTTGTTTTCTCAACAGTCTTAAGTTTCTTTAAAATTGCTGCTTCCTTAGCTGAGACTTCCATTTCCTCTCTTTCCAGAGCCTCAATTTCCTTCTCCAGTCTGCAATCATAATTCCCTTTGATTTAATACCAGGTAGACAACAACATTGCAGATTCAATACATTGTGAATATGGACATTAGTGGGGCTGGTTCTACTTACCCTGACAAATTTTGCTCTAATATGAGATCAGCTTATAATTTCACATGCACCAGGAAATACTGTGAAATAGTATTCTCATTTTAAAAAAAAAAAAATGTGCCTGCCATAGATTCCTTCTGAGCCTACTTTGAAAACAGTGGCTGAAATTAAATTATTTTTCAGGAGGGGGTAGATAAGGAATATAGGCCTGCGCAGCATTTCCTCATCTCTAAGCAAATTTTCTCTTCTACATTGTCTCAAGAAATGTGATTACTCCCTTGTAATTAAGATGTAGGAATCTAGTATACAGACACCAGGGTTATGACTTTATTTGTTTGTCTCTTATTTTTGTATGTGTACTTGTGCACATTATGAAAAGAAGCAAATTCTTTTGTTGTAATAAAGACAGAAGAATGTTCTTGTAACTGGTAGTACTTAAAGGGCTAGAGTACATTACCTCATACACTGTATTTTAACATATGTAGCCAAACTGTATTCAAGAGGATCCCCCATGGAGGAAAGTTCTAGTCAATCTATAACTAGAAGCTACAGTTCCAGAAGAACCACCTCTATTAATGGAAATCGAATTGCATTCGTATTTCTGAGGGGTAGAACAGGTATCTTTTTTTTTTTTTTCCATAAAATGGTAATGGCATTTGCAAGTACTTTTTGTAGATAAAACAGCTCTTAACTAATTTTCTAATATGAAAATTAATACAGCTAGAAATCATAATAGTGATGTGCTTTGCAGGCTACTTTTATGAAGTGATAACTTCATAATTGTGTGGATTTTGAAAACTAAACAACCTGCAGAATGGGAGGATGCTCAGGAGACTAAAGTCTGAAGCTTTGTTGTTTTCCAGTCTGTCTGGGATTGAGAATGAAAAATTTATAAACACTCAGAGTGATGAAGGGGCTTTCTGATGGGTGTGTGTGTTCAGCTCCAAGATGCCAAGACAGTTCTCCATGGTTTTGCATGTGTGAACGTGGGTTCTGGGATTTCAAAATTCCTTGCTTTGGTAAAACAGGTGTAACAGTGCTTGACCGACAGCCTGAAGCTTGATTCTTCAGGGGAAAAAATCTTGATTAAAAATGAAAGATATTGCTGATGTGCAGTGGCTGTTACTGTAGTGTTCCTGATAGACTAGACCAGAGCTTGTGTAGCTACAGACTTAAAAATACTAGCAAGTTTTAAGGGCTTCTCTTTGGGGCTGTGTACTAAGGCTTTTACAGACATACATGTGTCCTTCTTAGTTACTCATTGGCATTTTGTGTACTTAATTCTCTGGGAAAAGTCCTGAAATATTGTTTCTGGAAAGCATTCCTTTTCAGCAAAACAGCAGTCATGTAAGACACACTAGTTCAATGCACCTAGGACAAGCAGCTAGGAAGGTTAACATTTGCAGTGTTTGCTCAAGCAGTATCCTCACAAGTATTACCAATGTATTTGCAACAGAAAACTGGGGTAGTTCACATAGGCGTGATACATGTTGCATCAGGCGCTAATAGCAATCACTTTCTAAGATTGCAATTAGGTGAGATTTCCAACACTAAGAAACAATTTTTAAGGGCCTATTTATTAGAGGGGGACCCTTGATTGTACCCAGGTCTAGTCAGCGAGAGTTTTGTTTTACAAAGACTACAAGCCTACCTCTTATGAATACCAAATATGCTAACTTTGGGTATTCTCTAAGGCAGCAGCATATCCAGCAATTGACTTCTCTCTATCAGATTTTAGCAGTGCAAAACAGAAGTATCTTGCCGTTTAAGACTTGGCTGATGGGCTAACTATTTTCTTAAAAAACCTTTATCGTTATGTAAAAGGGAGATTGAAACTCAGCAGTCAAATTTTCTTTTGGATTATTGACTTCTGCTGTAGGTTTGTACATTATTTAAAAGGGGTCACAGCTCCCTTTCCCTCGTCTTTTTGTTATATGTTAAATCTATGTTATATGGTTTCCTGCATGTTAAAGCTGAGTACAATGTTTAAGGCATCTTTTTCCTAATTAGAGTTTTTATTTTCTCAGTACTGAGATGTTTGACAAAACACTTCTAGACAGAAAGGTCCGGGATAAAATATCTAATCTATATGTATGTGAGAGAAGGAGAAAGCTATGCCTGGTTAAAGCACACCTCTAAGGTAAAGTATCTCAGTCAAATTCTTTTCTCTGGTGACTAAGACAGTGACTTAAGCAGGTGTCCCGTATCCTATTTTTTTTTTCCTCTTTCTAGTCAAGACCGTTCCTTTCTGCATAAGTGCATATTTGTTGGTTTTTAGATAGAAATTTGCCTTGTTAGCCTAGTAGTTGGGAAGTCACTTTTCCATGAAGATCTAAAATCAAGTCCAGATTTAACTCTGGGACTTGAGCTGGATCTCTCATGCTGTAGGTGAGTGCTGTATAGCTTCAGTCTCCTGGTTCATCTACCTTTTCTTTTTGGGATCGTTTTTGGAAGAACTTCTTTTAAGTTAAAGGAAAAAAACAAAAACACAAGCAAATTTCAAAACTTTCCATATTTGGGTGAAATATGTCTTCCATTGTTTTTGAATCCATGTCAGAAATTGATGACTGTAGACTTAAGGCAACTGCAACTGATATCACTAGTTGCTGAGATCAGTCAGATTAGAGTTACAACTAGATGATCTGAGCCAAAGTTACAAATAGAGTAATGATGGCCTATAAGCCTGATAGAAAAAATTGTTTTATGTTTTGACTTATTCTATAGTATGTGCTAGGATCCACGATATTACACCAAAATCAACATTAATAATAAAACCTGTCCTCTGTTTAAAGAAAGCAGACCAGAAAAATTGAATGCAGGCTCACAGAGGAGCATTATTTATCTCCTACTGTGTCACTCCTTGAGGAGTCTGAATAACATGTGGCTCTTGCCCTATTTAAACTCAGATTTGTAGAGCTACAATAATAGGATACTACGTGGACTTTTATCTGTCAGTGAGAATATCCTCTTTTTTGAAACACAAAGGTATCACAGACCTCAGAACTGAGATGTGAAGAAAAATGCATTCAGGATGAAAGTAAAAACTAAAAGAAATATTTAAAAGCAGTTAACACTTTGGACCTGAGCTCTGCAAGATGCCCTTAGGACCCTGTTCAAAGGTAATGATTATAGTGCCAAAATTTAAAAACTTTATAATGAGGGGGATGAATATTCTTGGAGGGCTATAAACGAAACTAATGCAATGACCATGTGCCATATTTCTGCACTTCTTAGAGAATAGTATTTCTTTAATATATTGAATTGTTGTATTTTTACGTGAGACTTGATTGCAATATTATCATAATGCGAAAATTAATCATTAAAAGCTCACAGAAGCATAATGAACTGAAGAATCATTAACCTTTGCTATGGGTTTATTTCAGTCTGGACTCTAAACACTGGAAGGAGAGGAGGAAAGTTCCTGGAAAGGTATTAAAAAAAAAAAGGGGGAGGGGGGTGGGGACAGAGAAAGAGAAAACACAACCCCAAATAAATCAAAGATGATAAACCCGATATAGTTATCTGGAAGATCAAGAAAATTATTATTTAAGTTTATATATGCTCTCACACCCATACCAACACCCACTTCATATGGTAGTTAAGAAGACTGATTCAGTGCTCAGTGGGGTTAGGGAAAAATTCTCATATCCATGTAATGGGAATTGCATCTAGACTTTAAATCTCTTGTGCACTCATACTTGCATATAGACATAGATTTTATGGTTCATTTTCAGAGGATGTTGTGAGTGTGCACGCTGGAATTTGTTGAAAGGAAACTTTTAAAAGATGCAATCTGTATAGTTCAAAGAAATCAGAGTCCTTTTGACTTCGTGTAGTTGAAAAGTTAGGCCAGAATCTTTCTGGTGTGTTTAAATCTTTAGAAACTTCTAAATCAATGAAATTTTTATTAAGTTACATCACAGTTTGTATTTGTCTTGAAAGGGTCTAGCAGCTACACTAGCAATTGTAAGAAACTATCTTTTGATGGTGCTGCCATGTTTTGTAGAGAAATGGAAGTATGACACGCTACTGTATTAAATCAATCCTTTGGATGTTTGTCCTTCTCTCCTTGAGTAGTGTTCATTATTTGAGAGGGGAAAATAAGTATTATGGAGGTGTAGATGAAAGAAGGAACCTTAGAAGCTGAGATACTAAATTGGAGGTTTCTCTGCCAAAGTAGTATCTGAATTAAGAAATTCTACAGAGTATGCCTGACTGCAGCTGGCCACCAGCTAATCTGCTGGAGTTGGCACCACTGCCACCCCAGAAGAAAAATAAGCAGCTTAAGAATGAAAAGCAGATAGGAGGATACCACCCTGGAGAATACCGGACTGAGAGGCAAAGGCAGTTTAGCAAGTCCTCACATGTTTTGAGGTGAGTCAAATGCTTTAGCAGCTCCGGAGTCCATCTAGCCTTAGCCTGCCTTCATGTGTCACATTACAAACTATTGAATGGACCTTAGTTAACTGTGATGTTGTTTGTGCATTTTTAAGTATGTTGTTTAGCAACTAATTCCATCAAGAATGAGTGCTATTTGCTGAAAATTAAATGAGAAGATGGGACTCCTAATTCTTCATTCAGCTTCTACCCTGACCAAGAACATGCTCACTGTAACTTCTAACATGTAAACAGGGTGAATAGGACAAAAATGTAAATGCTGTTTTTGTCTGTAACCAGAAGGTTCAGCTATTTGTCTGCAAGGTGGTTCAGGCCACTCGCTATTCACTATTTTGTTGTTGATACAAAGAGTGGAACTCTCCCTTTTATCAAAAAATGCTCAACTCCGAACTTATTAGCAGACATACATTACCTCTATTTGACACCCAAGTAAAGAATGTGTCAAAAAAGAAGTCCCATTTAGGAGGGTGATGGAAAGGCCCATGCCACTACTGGAAATAATTTGCCTACAATTACGATTTTCTTCTCAGCAGAAAGAAGCAAAGACTGGTCTAAGAGCATTGAAAAAGTTTTTAAAGTGACTCAGATTTTTTTAACTAACAATAAAACCCATGCAGAATAATCATCAGAGTGGACAGAATCTATCTGAATCAAGTGAAGTTTAATAATCAGATGCCCACAAGGAAGAATTCTACTGAGCTTCTCAATAATATATATTACTATTACTGCATGACATGTGTCTACATGATCAGTTTAGCAATCTTTGATTTACAGGACAAGTCAAAGGTATGACTTCACATATATGTAGTCAAGCAAGCTTTTGTTAGCTTGGCTGCTATCTATGGCATAGCAAAAGCACTGTGCAAGTACTGTACGGTGCATATTTTGTGCTTTTTAGTGGACTTTGTTCATACTGAACTCTCTATTACTAGGTTTCTGTATCACTGCTGGCTGGTTTGAAAATGGGCTGAGTATGTCTAAACAAAACATAATGATATGTGGAAGGCAGCATGGATGTTTTTCTAGAGGTCTTTGTAGACAGCTATTGAGGAGCGGTAGGAAGTATAATTTATAGCAAAATGTGAATAAACCTGCTTAAATTCCTAGTTCAGAGGGAAGTTCCCACATGACTCCAGGTATGTTCTTCTGCCTCCATTCTCCATCTATAAAATCAAATGTCCTTGTCTGAGTCGTCTGTGTATCATGAAGATAAAAGCTGTCAAAGACTCTAAGGTGTGTAGATTGTTTGGTTATGAGTGTAAGTATATCAGTAATGAAAATACTTCTTTTGATATCAAGGCCTTACAAACCTCTAAACTGTCTTTAGAACTTCAGCAATGGTGAATTAAGTCCTCTTAATTCAGGGTGGCTCAGGAACGTAAGTAGGAGCAGTTCTGTACTGATTTTCATTTCTAGGATGCATTATACCTGTGAAGTTCTTACTGTAAGAGGGAAGACAGCGTGTCATTTTGTGTTATGCTTTCTTTGTTGGTTAATCTTTTCTTTTTATGCTGATGTAATTTCTCTGATTCATTTCACTACAAATAAATCTGAAGTATTTCAGATGTACGTCAAGAAGTAGGCATCATTTTAAGGAGGAAGCAATTTGGTGGAGCTTCCCAGGAGAAGGTTACAGGCAGGAAGAGTTAGCTGGTAACACTGGTATTAACAACAAATGGCTGTGGAAATACTTAGTTCGCCATGAAAAAAATCAATTGCCATGAAAAAGCAGCATATATAAAAATAAAAGAGGAACCATTCACAGGTTCCATTAAGCAAGTGTAGTAAAACTAATAGCCTTATATTCTTGGAAAAAGAATAATATTTTTAGTAAGAGGAGAAAGGCCAACAACTACTATCAAACTGTATTGCAGCTTTTTCCACTGTGCTGCTTACAGTTGCAAGTAAACTTATTTCATTTCATTTTCATCAGCATTTAAATTGCTGGTTTATGGTCAGCCATCTAGATACACAAACATTACTTGTGCTTGTAATTAACTGAATCTGGAACTATGTAGGAAAATAATTCATACCTAATACCTTTCTCTTAAATACAGGCATATAAATAGAAACTATTAAAAAAACCAAAACAACAACAACAAAACAAACCTGTCATCCCTGCATCCCACCTACATGGGAAAGGAATTCTAAAATGGATTTTTTTTGTACATGCTGAATGTTAACCAAGTCTCTGGCAAGAATTCTAGTGGGAAGGTAACAGGCACATTTCTATAGTTAGGCTGTTACAGGCTCAGGCATACATCAAGTGTAGGAGCTGAGGAACCCCTGCCTTTTTTGGCATAATATGTGTGCTCTTGGTCATGTGATGCAGTACTAAATGTGCCATCTTCCCATTCATAGTGGATCTCTGTCTAGTCCTTGTAATTATCAAAAAATAGAGACGGGCTGAGATGTTACTCCAGGATCCATGTTGTGATTTAAGAAAGCAATCGGGAACAAATGATAGGTTTGGCACTTTCATTTCTCCTTCCTTAAAGCACAAATGCATTTAGAAATCTTCCTTTAAATGCCTGTGGGCATCTTTCAAAAGACCTGGAAACTTCTAATTCAGATACACTTTAAAATTTATAACCTCTTGTCAACTTTGGGATCCGATCTAGAATTAAAGCAGGGGGAATATTCCTTTGTGATGCTAATTCACCTACATGAATTAAAGGAGTTTTTCAGGTTTGAAGCTCCAGCTGGATTACTGTTTTACTATTTGTAATAGCGATAAATTCTAGTCATGCTAAAAAAAAGTTTATATGGCTATATTCAGAAAAGTAAAGCTCACTATGTGTTCAGTTTTGGTCTCTGAGGAAATATAAATTAAGGCCACTGAGCTGATGACAAATTCAGGACAATAATTACAAAAATAGTATCAAAAGACTCTACAACTGTAGTTACAAACCCAGGATTCTGCGAGTCATGGAAATGTGTGAATAATCAACCCTATTTGCTGAAATCTCTGAATTAGTATTGCAGGAAGGTTTTTAAGTCCTAATCCTGCATTCCAAGTCTTCCCAGGGGTAGGACAGGAGGGACCCGCTGCCAGTGTTGCTGTGAGATAGCTCAATTACAATGACTTAGGTGCAGAGAACTCTAAAGGTATCTTATGAGATGACAGACTAGATTTAGATGCTGGTGA